GATTGTCATTTCTGGCTTAATAGTCTATGTACAGGTTACAGACTAAAAAATAATTCTGTCGCCGGATTTCAATCAAACCACTGTCAGGAAAGAACTTTTCCTCAAATAAAGATTACACTTTTCTTCAGATTATGTACCAATTACAATGCTTTATTTTCGAGAAAAAAAAATCGAAAAAAATTGTTTCAAATGTGAACAAATTAAGAATAATATCATCTCCAAAGTTAGCAGGCTTTTCCTCTATTTTCCTGTGTATGAAAACTAGCAAAGGTGATTTTCGATCGAACATTTGCAACCGACCCGCAAAGTGAACGTAGAGTTTGCTGACTGAGTTGTTCTAAATTCGTACAGACCTCAATAAATTAAGCATCACTGGTTTCTCCAAAAATGTCTCCATATCGAGTAATTTCTCTTAATTGAGACCACAGTTCCAGTTGTGGAGGGACTGTGTTGAGACATAAATTTGTTCATATCCGTGATTTTGCGGCGTTTTGGGTCCATGATAGGACCCAATTGGTGAATTCTCCTGAAAATAGGGAAAAGTTGCATGCGGACTGCCCATGTTACTCTGTTCATCTGTAATTATTGTTGTACACAACAACAGTACACAACAGCGGTACATCTTACTATTTATAAACTAAATCGAAAGTAAAATGAAAGTAAGCTTGCAAATTCAATCCCCGGTTGCGATCAAAACACTGTCAATGACAGCGCCTGGCGACGAACGCATTATCGAGCTTAAAGTCACTAAAACGAACAAATATCGTTCAACACTTACCATTACAGCTTCATCCAGCAAAGTGATGAGGTAGCGTTCCGTATTTCTTTGCAATCCGTAGAAATAGCCGAGATCAGCACATTGCAAAGGTTTGCATCACATATAAACACAAGTGACCTATGACCAGTGTAGCCTCGTCCCAGTACCTGTATTTATTTCTGGTAGAACACGGCGTCATTCACGCACATCCACCTATTACAATGACAGTAAAATGACTAATGTATATAATAATAATATTATCAATAATTAATTACAATAAATACATATTAGTTATTAGTTAAACTCAATCGCACCGTACGTTTGCGGGGCACGAGGAAATGACGCCATCAACGGGTGTGTTAGCAAATGTGGTCGTTTTTACCGTATAGTAACCGTCCAACAAACATCTTGGCTAAATCTGAGTATCTGATTTTGAAAATTGGGCTTAAATTAAAGAAATGAATATCCTAAAAAAACGATCACGTGAACAAAGAAACCAATTGTTTTGTTGGACACTATAGTTATTAAACACATTCTATAATTGGTGACCCCCCCTCCCACCTCGTCGCGTGAAGGGCAAAAGAATGTGTCAACACATATTTTAAAATTAAAACATCAACGCGCTAAACACTATGCTGTGTAATAATGCGAACAGAGCGAATACGTTAAGTGGTTTTACCTCGAAATTCAAAAGGCTCAAAGCAATGGTGACAATAACATCAGAAAAAATATAACTTGGGGAAAAAAAAAAAAAAAAAAAAAAAAAAGTTGCAATTATACCAGAAATATTAGCGAAAATATTGTTTTCACAATTTGTATTGAACCATGTGTATGTCTGTAGAAAACAGATTAAGGGTTCAACCATTTGACATTATGGGAGTTGACTGGAAGAGTATGACCAGTGCATACCATTTGCTTCCCCGATAGCCAATCCTCATTAGCTTCCGATTGTATACCCAACTTTATGGGCGTAAACAAACAATGTATTTTACACGCGTTGTGTACGCCGCCAAGAGCCCCATATCGAATAGGACGCGGCGCGATAGACTGTCGACAGTTCTCGGGTCTAATAAAGAGTCACTTTCAAACGCCGTAGGCATATCAAGGGAGGGCTGGCTGTAAGGCCCGAAAGACTGTTATAGCATGTAACGCCCTCATGCGGCATTACTTGGAAATTGACCGGTGACGTTCCTGCTGAGACTTCAAGTTGTCAATTCTGCTACTGTTTTCCACCATACAGACCAGACGACAGTGGATTTTTTGTGGTCAAGTTTATTTGGGTCTCTCATATAAACAAAAATGGCGACTTTGACTGTTGTGCAGACCAACGAGTACAAACTGAGACGTTACCAAAGCAAGCTTTGATTTTTTTATGTGATCGAAGGAGTCATCGGCGGCAATTAGTGCGCCCAGGTCAAACCTAATACTTGTGATTCCCATTAGAAGAGCGCATTGCATTATGGGAAAATCAATGTTTATCAACACGACCACCACCCTTCAAAGCGGGGGAGTCGTCACATGCGCAGGTGTCAGATGGCCATAGCGTGTCATTGTTTAAAGACAATCGTCTACCCATGAGCCTTTGCGTTTTTAGCGTGTGTTGTTATCGTCGCCTGGGACTCAATTCCCGCGCATGCACAGGTGACGACCCTCCCACTTTAAAGGCAGTTGTTATAATAGCGAAAAAACAAGTAGGCACGCGACAATTTTGTTAACCGGCCCACATCAACAGACGGGTGGACGCGTTCTTTTACTTTCCTATACATATGTTTTCATGTTGGCATTTTTTTGAGAGAGAGATGAATAATAAACATGTGTTGAGTGTTGAGTGTTGAGTACTGTAACAACAAATGAATACTAAAATGATAAAATCGCATGGAAAGTAACTGCTATATGTACGTCCGCACATCTCATACACACTTGTAATAGTGTTGGGAATCTCTCATTACATAATTGTTGGTGATCTATAGTATTACTTATGTTGGTATAAGTGCCTGTAATTTTAACTAAAATACTTTATTTTAGCTGCAATCAATTTTCGCTGAAAAGACTTTTTGGATGTTTTGTATGGAATTTATTCTCACTAGTTTTTGACAAGTTGAATGTACAATATAGGAAAAAAAGATATATTTCGCTGGATTTCTTTTCACTGAATCATTCATTCAGCGAAAATACAGTATTTCGCCGCGGCAGTATACATCAAATATACCCCGTGTTTTGAACTGATATCCGGATGAACGTCACCAATTCCACTATTGAGAATCAGAGTGCAGAACACAGCTGATAGTTATACTGAAAGAAACTCGTGATGAACATGGTAACATGGGTATTAGCTGACATTACAGCTTTTTACTAGGTTTTCAATATATTAAGCTCCACATTTTGAACAATCTCTCGTCGTAAAATCAGTACTGAAATATTTATAGTCCATTTAGGCAGAAAATCTGCGTGTAACTGTTGATACTGTTCCCTAGATTGAGAAACTCAAACGCGTTATTTTTATTGATTATTTCTATTTGTGTCTTAGAATGTTTGAACGTTCTATTCTAATTACAAATACATATCTGTGCCAGTTCAATCACAATTTCACTAAGAAGTCACTTTACAAATCCATGACCCATAATAGGTTTAGTTGATCTCGAATATAGAATGAAAATGCCGATAATTTTGTTTTTTTGTGAATCGAAATTGACCATGGCATTTGTACTCCAAAAACTCTGCCTGTGAATGTTCTAAAATGTTAGTATTCGTTACCACGTTATTGTTTGGGTATTTTAATGTGGAACTGCAATTATCATAACTATTTTCAATCGTAACTTAAGAAAATAACGCTTTTTTTTGGTTGAGGTTAGCGACGTCAGCCATTTTGTCTACCTTTGACATAACAGTTCGGGAAAATTGCTAAAAAGTTGGATGGAACTATATTTTAGTACAACGCATTGTTAAATTGGTATTTATAGTTTACATTGTTATAATTTTTGTAAGTTAAATACATGTGCTCAGTTGCTGTAGTCAATTTTCATCGTTTCAGTATGGCGATTGCAAGTCTGCGTCTGCTAATGTCCAACATGGCAACGAAATTTTGTATCCGAAAAATGCATCTCTGATGCATAATACAAGTTTATTTTGTCCATTGAATTAGAATCTGTGAGTCTTTAATGAACTATGATATTTGAAACAATGTTAGTTTCATTTTCTCAACTTGACCCCTTTGTTACCACTCTCAGCATTATTTTAACATTTTTTT